GGGAGAGGGTGGAGGGGTTTGGGGGCCAATGGGATCTGACCTGCTCCCCCCAGGTGGTCTGTAACACCTCAGCCCCCGTCTGGGAAGACGCTTTCCGCTTCTTCCTGCACGACCCCAGGAACCAGGACGTGGATATCCAGGTGAGATCCCCAGCCCCCACATCCCCCGAGATCTCCCCAGTTCTCCAGCCTTTTGTCCCCCCATATCCTCCCAAGTCCTTGTTCCTTTTCCCTCCCCAAATCCTCCACTCCTTCCTTTTCCCCTCCTACTTCCCCTTTTCCTTTCCCCCCTCTTTTTTCCCCCCTTTTCTCCTCCTCCTTTCTCCCCAGTTCTTCCCTCCCACTTCCCCCCCTTTCCCCCATTCCCTGTGCCCCCCCAGTGACTCCCCCTGCCCGCAGGTGAAGGATGACCCCCGGCAGACCCCGCTGGGGTCCCTGTCTGTGCCCCTGTCCCGCCTGCTCGAGGCTCCAGAGCTGACTCTGGACGAGCCGTTCCCGCTCCAGCGCTCGGGGCCCGGGAGCCGCCTGTTCATGAAGCTGGTCCTGCGGGTGAGGGGGGTCTGGGGGTCCGGGGGAGGGGCCCTGCCCCTGCTCACCCCCCCCCGCTGACCCCCAGATCCGCAGGTGCTTTTCCTCGACGCCCCCGAGAAGGGCGTGGCCCCCCCTGTCCCCCCAGGGCAGACGGAGCCCCCGGCCAGCACCGAGAGCCCCCCCCGGCCCACCCAGGCCAGCCCGGACCCCCGGTTTGGCACCGAGGTGGGGAGGGTACGGGGGGGCAGGATGGACAACAGGGGCTGGGGGAGGGATGGGGGTCCTGGGGGGCGGGATGTGGCTCAGGGGCTGGGGGGGTGGTCCTGGGAGATGGGTTGAGGGGTCCTGAGGGGCAGCTTGGAGGGGTCATGGGTGGGAATCGGGGTCAGGACTGGGGGGCTGGGGGATCCAAGGGCTCTGGCAGCCCCCTGCCAGTGCCTGGTGGTCCCGTGTCCAGCACGTGCTGCGGATCCACCTCCTGGAGGCCGAGAACCTGATCGCCAAGGACAACTTCTTCAAGGGGATGGTGCGGGGCCGCTCCGACCCCTACGCCAAGGTCCGCGTGGCCGGGAGGGTCTTCCGGAGCCGAGTGATCAAGGAGGAGCTGAACCCCCGGTGGAACGAGGTCTACGAGGTACCAGCATTCCCATCTTCGGCCCCGTGGGCAGGGGAGGGTCCTGGGTGGGGAAACAGTCCCGGGGGGCTCGAGGTGGGACCCAGGTGACCCCTGTCCCCACCCAGGTGATCGTGGACAACATCCCAGGGCAGGACGTGGAGTTTGACCTCTTTGACAAGGACGTGGACAAGGATGATTTCCTGGGCCGGTGGGTGCAGGGGGGTGTGGGGGGTGCTTGAGGGGGGGGGTCAGGGGACTGTGGGGGCCCCCCAAAACCTCACTGAGTGTCCCCCACCCAGGTGTAAAGTGCCACTGAGGCGGGTCCTGAGCAGCTGCATTGTGGATGAGGTGGGAGAGAGACTTGGGGGGTGGTGCTGGGGTTGGGGGAGTCACCAAAGGGGGTTCACTGAGGGAGGTCTCCCTGTCCCACCAGTGGCTGCCCCTGGAGGAGGTGAAGTCAGGGCGGCTGCACGTGAAGCTGGAGAACCTGGACCCCCGGCCCAGCACTGCCCTCCTGGAGCAGGTAACGACCCCCCCGCTCTTGAGGACACCGTGGACCCCAATCTCTGTCACCATGGACCCCAATCTCTGTCACCATGGACCCCATGTGTCCCCATCCCCACTGACATCCCCACCTCTGCTCCCCCATCCCCATCCATCCCCATTCCCGATCTCCTGGGGGTCCCCACGCCACATCAGGACCCCCAGCCCACCTACCCCGTGTCCCCCAGGTCCTGCACACCAACAGCCTCCTGCAGCCTGCCCGGGGTGAAGAGCTCTCAGCCGCCCTCCTCTCTGTCTTCGTGGACCAAGCTGCCGACCTGCCGGTGAGTGGGTGCCCCCCCCTCAGCCTGGGCCCCCCAGGATGCCCCCAAATGTCCACAGCACCCCCTTCACCCCCGTCCTGCCCCCCCAGCTCCGGAAGGGCTCCAAAGCACCCTCCGCCTTCGCCAGCCTGGCTGTGGGCAACGTGTCCTTCAAGACCAAGGTAAGAGGTGGTGGAGGGGGGACCGGGGGGTGTTTTGGTGGGATTTGGGGGGTCTCTCACCCCTTCTCGCCCCCCCCAGACCTGCGCCCCGTCTGCAGAGCCCGTGTGGGACGAAGGCTTCTCCTTCCTCATCAAGCGTCCGCACGAGGAGTCTCTTCAGCTGCAGGTCTCTACCCCCCCCAGGGTGGGGGTCCCGTCCCCACAGCCCCCTGGGGGTCCCATGTGGGGGTCCTGAGCTCCCTGTGCCCGCAGGTGAAGGAGGAGGGGGGGCAGCCCCTGGGCAGCCTCAGCCTGCCCCTGCCACAGCTCCTGGCCTCGGAGGGGCTGGCTCTGGACGGATGGTTCCCCCTGGCCGGGGGGGGCCCCGGCACCCAGATCCTGCTGCGGGCGCAGCTGGGGGTGAGTGGGGTCCTGGATGGGGGGGGGAGATGGGGCAAGGTGAGACCCCCCCCCCCTCACCACCCCTCTCGCCCCCCAGGTCCTGGTGTCGCAGCAGGTGGAGGCGGGGGCCGGCGGGTCCCTGGAGGGGGGGGACACGGACCCCCAGCCCACAGAGGCGCGTGGGGAGCAGGAGGAGGAGGAGGAGTGCGGGACGGGGGGGCTGCGCCAGCGCCTGCCCCCTGTGGACAGGTGGGAAGGGGGGGCACGAGCCCCCTCCCGAGCCCCCAGCCCCACATTCCAGGGAGGGGGGTCTTTGGGGGTGCTGACCCTCTGCCCCCACAGCCCCCCTGAGCCAGCAGAGGGTCCCCGGCTCCAGCTCACGCTCTGGTACCACCGGGACGAGAGGAAGCTGGTGGCCATCGTCCACGCCTGCAGGTGAGGCTGGGGAGGGGGGCTCGGGGCCGGGACCCCCAGGCTGGGTCCCCCCTCTGAGCCCTCATAACCCCCCCCAGGGAGCTGCGGGCGGCGGCGAAGGAGCTGCCAGACCCCTACGTGTCCCTGGTGCTGCTCCCCGACCGCAGCCGCGGCACCAAGAGGAAAACCAGCGTGCAGAGGAAGACCCTGAACCCCGATTTCAACGAGAGGTAAGGAGGGTGAGGGAGGGGCCCTGTGCCACCCAGTACGGCCCAGTACAGCCCAGTACAGCCCAGTGTCCCCAGGTTCGAGTGGGACCTGTCCCTGGAGGAAGTGTCACGGAGGAGGCTGGAAGCTCATGTCAAATCCACCCTGTCCTTCATGACACGGGAGAAGGAGGCGCTGGGGAAGGTAGGGGGGGCCCAGGGGGATCCGGGGGGGGGATTTGAGACAGGTCTGGGAGGTCCGGGGGACCAGGGAGTCCCCTGAGCCTTTGCTCTCCCGCAGCTCCATCTGAACCTGGCGCAGGTGGATCTGTCCGAGGGGGGATCCCACTGGTGAGTGGGGCTGAGGGGCTGTGCTGAATGGGGGGAGGGCTCTGGGGGGTCTCTGGAGTGGGGAGGGGGGGCTGTGTCCCCCCCATACCCCCTCACCTCTCTCCCTGCACAGGTACGAGCTGCAGGATGAGCGGAGCGGTCCCTAAAGCCAGACCATCGGCCCCAACCCGTCCCCCTCGGGGGGACCCTCTGGCTGCTGCCGCCCCCACGCCCGCCAAGCCCCCGCCTCGCCATCGACCAAAGACTGCTGGGCCGGGCCCCCCCGCACCCCCCAGACTGTTACAAACCTCGTGCCTTTGCCCCCCACCCGAGGGGCCCTCGGTGTTGGGGGGGCCCGGCTGGGGTTGTGTCCCCCGGGTCCCCCCCCTCCGAGGGGACGCTTCTTAGAGCCGCTGCTGCCACCACCGGGATGTCACCGGGATGTCCCCTGGATGTCACCGCCGGGATGTCACCGGGATGTCCCCTGGATGTCACCGCAGGGATGTCACCGGGATTTCACTGACCGGACCCCCCCGGAATGCCACTGCCAGGCCACTGCCTTGATGCCACCACCAGGGTGTCGCTGGGGTTCCACCTCCAGGCCACCGTGGGGACGCCACCGCCGTGCCGTGCCACCGGGATGTCACCGCGCTGCCACCGCCGTGCCACCCCCCTCGCTGCCTTCCCAGGGCTGCGTCCCCGTCCCCCCCCCGCGCTAATAAAGGGGGGAGGTCACAGCTTCGTGTGTTCCTGGAGGGGTCCCGGGTGTTGGTGGGGTTCCACAGGAGTCCCCAGTGGGGTCCAGTCACGGGTGCCCTCCATGGGGCGTGGCCGTGGGGTGCCCCCGTGGGATGCCCTCACTGGGGGGCCTGTGAGGGGAGTTGGTGTCCCCCGTGGATGGGGTGTCCCCCGTGTGATGTGCCCGTGGGGGGGAAAGGGTGTTCCCAGTGGGATGAGGTGTCTCCCGTGGGATGTCCCCGTGGGATAGGGTGTCCCCCGCGGGGGAGGTGCCCCCCGTGGGGTGGGGAGGGTGTTCGCTCCGTGCCCATCTATAGCCAAAACATCCCCCCCGGGGGATGAGGAGGGGGCGTGGCCTCCCCGTTTCCCCGCCCCCCTCATGAATAATCCCCACCCTCGTTACCGGCGGTGACGCCGCGCGCGGTGACGCCCGAGAGCGCAGGAGGGAACGGGAGCGGCCGGCGCCATGGTGGGCACCGGGAGCGGCACCGGGAGCGGCACCGGGATCCGCACCGGGAGCGGCCCCGGCGGGGGATGCGCGGGCGGAGGGGGATGCACGGGCGGGGCGGCGCTGGGGGGGGGATCGGGGCGGGGGTCGCACCGGGGGGGGGGGGGGGGGCGGATGCGGCGGGGGCGCGGGGGGCACCGGGCGGGCTCGGCGGGCACCGGGCGGGCTCGGCGGGCACCGGGCGCGGGCCGTGGCCCGATCCTCCCCGGGGGATGCCGGTGCCCGCTGACGGCCGCGCTCTCCCCCGCAGTGCGACTTCTCGGAGGAGCAGACCGCGGGTGAGTGACCGGCACCGGGCACCGGGAGCGGGACCGGCACCGCTCCAGCTCGGGGCACCGGGAACGGACCCCCCCGGGGCGGCCCCGCCGCCCCCAGCGCTTCCTGCGCGACCGCGGGCGGGGCCTTTTCCCGGGGCAAAGTCTCTCCCGGGCGGGGCCGTTCGTTCCGGGGGGAACCGGGGGGAACCGGGGGGATGCGGAACCGGCGCCGGTGGCTGCAGGGCCGGGGATACGGCACCGGCACCGGCACCGGCACCGGGGGGTGTTTGGGCCCCTCCTGAGCAATTTGCCCTTATATGGGCACAGCGAGCGCCGGCCGCGCATTCCTGCGGGGCGGGGCCGCGGATTCCTGAGCGCTCCCGGTTCTCCGGGATCCGCCGGGATCCGCCCGGGGCTCCCCGCTCGGCCCGGGCACCATCCCGCAGGGCGGCGGCCCGACCCGCATCCCGGCTGGCGTCGGATTCCACCGGGAAACCTGATCCCACCGGGAAACCGGATCCCACCGGGGAACAAAACCCTACCCGGAGTCGGAGGGGGGGCTGGGAGTGGAGCCCCCGAGGTGCGAGGTCCCGAGGAGGAGGCTGTGGGGTCCCTGAGGTGTTGAGTTCCAGGGATAGAGCAGGATGGCAGGACTGGCCGTGTGCTGGGGGTCCCAGAGGCACTGACACGGGGGGCCAGGTGCTCTGAGGGTCTCGGTGCTGCTGACAGGGGGGTCCTGGTGCACTGGGGGTCCTGGAGGTGCAGAGTCGGGGGTCTTTTTGCCTCAGGGGGTCCGGTGGTGCTGATGCAGAGATTCTGGAGGCTCTGATTCGGGGGTCCCGTACCCTGGGAGTCCCGGGGGCACTGACAGGGGGGATCCCAGCAGTGCCTGTGTGGGGGTCCTGGCAGCACTGACACACGTTGGGTGTCCCGGTGCCCTGGGGGTCCTGGCACCACTGACACGGGGGTCCCGGCAGAGTTCAAGGAGGCATTCCAGCTGTTTGACCGCACGGGCGATGGGAAGATCCTGTACAGCCAGTGCGGGGACGTGATGCGAGCGCTGGGCCAGAACCCCACCAACGCTGAGGTCATGAAGGTGCTGGGCAACCCCAAGAGCGATGGTGAGTGGGGAATCCCCGTGTTCCCCCTCCCAGGACCCCCAGGACCCCCCAGCCCTCACACACGTGCCCTGTCCCACAGAGATGAACGTGAAGACGCTGAGTTTCGAGCAGTTCCTGCCCATGATGCAAACGATCGCCAAGAACAAGGACCAGGGGTGCTTCGAGGACTACGTGGAGGGGCTGAGGGTCTTCGACAAAGAGGGCAATGGCACCGTCATGGGCGCCGAGATCCGCCATGTCCTCGTCACCCTGGGTGAGCCTCAACTCCCCCTCTGGACCCCCAAATCCCCACAGGGAAACCAGATCTCGCTGGGAAACAAAACCCAACCTGGGCCAGAGAGTGAGGTCTGGGGGGGATTTGGGAGTGGGGTCTCCGAGATGTTGGGTTCCAGGGATCCAGCACGATGGGAGGGCTGGCGGGGGCGTCCTGGTGCTCTGGGTGGTCCTGGTGCTGCTACATGGGGGGCTCCTGGTGCATTGGGCATCCTGGAGGTGCAGATTCAGGGGTTGTTCTGCCCTGAGGGTCCCAGTGGTGCTGGCAAGGGGGACTCAGTGCCCTGAGGGTCCCAACGGCATTGACGTGGGGATCCTGGTGCCTTGTTGCCCCTGGAGGTGCTGATATGGGGGTCCTGGTGGCACTAATACAGGGGAACCCCTCGGCCATCCCTGAGGACCCCCAAAGCCCAGCCAGCTGCAGGGATCCTGTCAGCTCCCACCAGCCCTGAGATCATCACAAGCCCCCAGCCAGCCCCCGAGACCCCCTGCGAGGCCTGGGGACCCCCAGTGTGTGTCCCCCTCACCCCAGGGTGACACAAATGTCCCACAGGTGAGAAGATGACGGAGGAGGAGGTGGAGCAGCTCGTGGCCGGGCACGAGGACAGCAATGGCTGCATCAACTACGAAGGTGAGGGCTGGGGGTGGGAGGGGGGTCCCAGGGGTGCTGGGGGTCCCGGGGGGTGTTCGTCCGTGGCCACACTCCCTCCCTGACCATCATGTCTCCTTCCTTCCTCCCAGCGTTTGTGAGACACATCTTGTCAGGGTGACGCCGCAGGGGTAACGCCTCCCCCCCCCTTCCTTCAGTTACTTCCAGTTTTTTTTTTTCCTTCCTTTTTTTTCCCGCCCTGATGTCTTTTTTTTTTTTAATGAAGAAAAAAAAGGCCGCCTGGTTTGCGCTCTCGCCCTTGGTGCAGCCCCCCCCTCTGCCCCCTCCTTCCCCCCGCATGTCCTTCTGCATGGAGCCCCCCCTGTGCGCCGGGGCTGGGACGTGGGTGCTGCTCTGGGGGGCTGCAGGAGCCCCCTCCTACCCCCCCCGTAGCGACGCCGGGTTCTCCCTGCGCTCTTCAGCCGTTTGACTTTGGTTTTCCTGCCTCTCTCTGGGATTAGGGAAACGGGGGACCGGCAGACCCCTCCTCACCCTCATTTCTTCTCTCCACAGAGCTGGTCCGGATGGTGCTGAGTGGCTGAAGACTCCCCCGTCCTCCTGTGCCCCTCCCCTCCACTCAGTTTTGTGCCTTTTTCCTCATTTTCCTGCCACCACCGCCACCACATCCCCACTGCCCCCGTGTCCCAACCGCTCCCCTAACGCCCCCGGCCCTCCCTCGGCCCCATCGGCTAAATTATTGCTCCACAGCATCAAATAAAAGTCTCAGAACGTTGAATGTGACCCCCTCCCCTCCTCATGTGTCCCCCCACCAAGACAGACCCAGCACCACAAGGCTGTTTCTTCCCGCCCCAGGGACTTGGAATTTTATTTTTATTGGTTTTTTAAAAAAAGAAAAAAAAAAGAAAAAAAGAAAAAAACAAAAAGGGGAGGAGGAAAAGTAGCTGGGTGGGTGTTGGGGGTTGGTTTTGGGAGGGGGGGAAATGCCCATGTGCCAGGTGGGATCGGAGCTGTCTCATAAATAGCCGGGGGGGGAGCAGGGTCCCAGCCCCCCCCGGGAGACCAACACTTAAATAAAATCTGGGACAATCATAAAAAAATACCAAAGCTGGGGGCGAGGGAGGTCGGTTGAGGTGGGCAGGGGGTCTTTTGGGGTGCCTTGCAGGGGCGGGAGGGGCCGGTCTGGGAGGGCTGCGGCGTCCTGGGCCCCGGCCGGGGCTCACTGCGTGGGGGGCACGGGGGTGGCCGTGCTGGGGGTGGGCGCGATGGGGTCCGTCTGCAGGGGGGGGCCTTGGTCTGTAGAGAGAACACAAAGGACGGGGGGGGGGTCACATCTGGGGGGGCAAGGTGGTGCACGAGCACCTCTTGCCCCACAGCTCCGGGGGGAAGGGTTGAGGCCCCCGCCCGGCCCCGTGCCCACGAGTGATCCGCCCGCTCCCGGTGTCCCCCCCGTGCTCCCCCCCATGTCTCACCTGCGAGGAGGCCGGGGTTGGGAAGGAGGCTTCCCTGCACGGCGGCCACGATGGCGGGGCTGTGCGCGGCGGCCGAGCCCCCCGCGAGGTGCGGCAGGGCCAGGCCGGGTGGGTGGGAGTTGGGGGGCAGCCCCCCGCCCCCCGGCATGCTGCTGGCCAGGGCCCCATGCAGCGGGATGGGGGGCGGGTTAGCAGGGAAGGAGGCGCCCAGGGGGTCGGCGGGGGGGTTAGCCATGCTCAATGGGATGGCGGATGGAGGCAATCCGAAGGGCAGGGCCGCGGGAGCATTACCGGGCACAGCGGGGTGGCCGCTGCCACCGAGGGTCCCCGCCAGGCTCTGGGACGGCGGCTGCTGCCCAGGGAACGGCGCCGGGGCTGCGGGGAAGAGGGGTGGTGAGGAGACCCCAACACAGAGACACCCGCCCGCCCCTCCCTCCCCCAACCCTCAGCACCCCTGGGACCCCCCTCACCCAACCCCTCCCCATCCCTCACCGTGCGGGACGTTCGAGGCTCCCGGTGGCGGGGGCGGCTGCGGCGGGGGGGCCCCGGGCAGCGGCTGCCCCACGGGCTCGGCGGGGCCCACCATGGCCGGGGTGGGTGGCGCGGCCAGCGGGTGGGCGGCGGGGGCCAGGGGGGCTCCGGTGGCGGGCAGGGGCTGAGCCCCCGGGGGCAGCGGGGGTGGCTGCTGCTGCTGCTGCTGCTGCAGGTGCTGGAAGTGCTGCTGCCGGGCGCGCATCTCCGCGTACTTCAGCTGCTCCATGTGGAAGGCCTGGCGGTCCGCCAGCAGCTGCTGCCGCTGGTATTCCAGCTGGGGGGGACACGGCAGGGTCAGCTGAGGGGGGGGACAAGCAGACGAGCACCCGCCACCCTCCCGGCGATGGCACCGGCACTCACAGCCTCGCGCTCCCGGTCCATGATGGTCTCCAGCTCCTCGAAGTGCCGCAGTTTGATCTCCAGCTTCTTCATCTGCGTCTCCACCAGCAGCGCCACGAGGGACTTGATCTTCCGCTCCTCCACAGCCGCCAAGTGCTGGGGGAGGCCACCCGGGGGGGTCAGAGCCCATATCTGGGTTGTGCTCCCCCCCAGCCCAGACCCCCAGCCCTCACCTTGGCCTTCACGGCAGCAGCAGCCAGTGCGGCAGCGGCGGCAGTGGAGAGGTTCCCCTCGCCGATGTCCCGCTCCACCTTGGCCTTGCGCTCAGCCTCAGGCTCTGGAGGCTCCTTTGGTGCCTCATCTGGCCCCTCCTTCACCTCCTTTTCTTTCTCTGGCTCTCCTGTGGCGCAGTTGGGGCCGTGTCAGCAGTGTCGTGGGGGGCTCAGTGTCCCCCCAGCCCTGCCAGGCCCCCCACTCACCTGCACCATCACTGTCACCCTTGTCGGGCTCCTTCTCACCCTCCACCTCCTTCCCCTTCTCCTCCTCCTTCTTGGGCGTATCCCCAGGCTTCTCCTTTGCCTCCTCCTCGGTGCTGCTGTCCCGGGGCTCCTGGGAGGGACCAGCCCCACGGTCACTCAAGTCCTGCCTGAGCCACCCTCCCCGGCCCCCCATCCCCTCTCCGGCCCCCTCCTACCTTCACCTCCTTCTTCTCCTCGGCCGGCTGCGCATCGGCCCGCGCCTCCTCCGCCCCGCTCTCCTCTGGGGACACAAACCCGTTCTCAGGCTCTGCCACTGCCCTCCCAGACCCCTGAAGTCCCCCTGGCCCCTCACCGATCCGCTCCGGCTCGTCCGAGGTGGTGCCGGCGATGCCACTGCTCTCCAGCCCAAACGCGGGGTCAGCCTTGCCCGTCACCTTGGCCGCCTCCTCCACCTTGCGCACGTGGGCCTCCACCAGCGCCGTGGGCACCTCCTCCTTCATCTTGGAGAATTCCTCTGGGGGAAGTGCCGGGGAGGCCTCAGTGGGACCCCAGCGCCCCTTGGAGTCCCCCCAGCACTGCACATCCCTTGGGGGGGGCTTGTCCCAGCTCAGCAGGCCTCGCCCTGGCTCCCCACAGGATTCATCCCTCTCCCCACCAGACTTGTCCTGCATTCCTACAGAACTTCCTACAGGACTCCTCATAGAACTCATCTTATCTGCTATAGGGCTCCCTACAGGACTCCTCCCTGTCCCCGTGGTCCCTGTCCCCTCTCCTCCCAGGACTCCTGCAGCCCCCAGGCTGGACCCCTGCCCGAGCCGTTACCCAGAGCCGATTTGGCGGCAGCGGAGGCGACGCGGGGGTCGACGACAGAGGCCAGGAAGGCAACGGTGCTCATGACAGGGTTGCCCGACTGGCTGAAGGGGATGGGCTGGTAGGCCAGTGGTCCCAGCGATGCCTCCGAGTCCTCCAGGTAGGGATCCTCGATGGGCAGCCGCAGGAAGTGCAGGATGCACTCATCCTGTGTCCGGCTGCCCACGTGCTCTGACACCTTGTTCCAGTCGTCCTTGTACATCTCCAGGGCCTGTGGGGTGGAGTAGGGGGGCGTCAGCAGGGGCTGGCAGCCCTGTTCCCCTCTTCCCATGGACCCTCACTCACCTCCAGCAGCAGCAGTGTTTCCTGCTCCGTCCACTCCCGCGTGGCGCTGGCGGCAGCCTTGCTCTGCGGGTGGAGAGAGAGGGGTGAGGGGCGGCGGGTGGGGGGCCGGGGCCAGGCCGAGGGCTGCCCACCTTGGAGGGGACGTTCTTCTTGGTGTACATGTCGGTGCGGAGGCCGAAGTTCTGCATGTCGGCCGGCTTCTCCTTGCCCTTGTCCGGGAAGTTCAGCATCTGCTGCGAGGCCGAGGTCGGCTGCTGAGGGGAGAGAGGACGCTGGGATGCGGCCATGGGGGGACAGGACATCAGGATACCAGTCCCCCCCCGCCCCTCCAGCCCAGAAAAGTCTTCGTGCCCCGTCTCGTCACGGTGTCCCCCCCGCGTCCCTGCTCCCCGGGGCAGGGCGGCATGCGGGGCGCGAGGGGGAGGAGGGAAGGAGCCTTCCTCGGCCAGCGGCGGGGGCACGGACCCCAAGGAGCCGCCTACCAGCTCCGGCTTCCCCTTCACCGTCTCGCTGACGAGCTCTTCGATCTCTTTGCTCTTGCGGGCGGTCTTGGCGTCGCCGTCGCTCTGCCGGCCCTGAGGCAGGCACGGATCGAAGCTGTGCATCCCCCACCCCCCGCCCCACCCCGCGCTCGGCCCCTGCGGGGACCGGGGGGCGGCGGGGGGGGTCGCGGCTGCGCAGGGCGGACGCCCCCTGCACCCACCTGGGGCGTCTTGGGCTGCAGCGGCACCAGCCCCGAGGGAGTGTCGGCCAGCACGTGGAAGTGGGAGGTGGGTGGGGGGCCCATGGGGGTGGGCCGGCTCTCGGCATCCACCTGGTAGTTGATGAGGCCCCACTGCTCCAGGAAGGCGTGGACCCTGCGGAGAGCTGGGATCAGACCCTGCCAGAGCCCCACTGGTGTCTGTGGGGTCCCACACCGACCATCTCTGCCCCACTGGCACTGGACCCGTCAGCACCAAGGTGCAGAACCTGTCAGTGTCTGGCGCTCCACCAGCACCAGGCCCCCACCAGGGTGCCCCAGTGGCACCAGACCCCTGCCAGCGTTAGGGTACCACACCGACCCCCCATCGATGCTGAGGTGCCACACTGACCCCATCAGAACCGCGGTGCCACAATGACCTCCAGACGCACCGGTACCAGGCCCCTGCCAGCCCCACCGACCCTGGCCTCCTGCCAGCACGGGGGTGCCAAACCGCCCCCCCACGCCCCTGGCACCGCACCCACCGCATGATGGCACAGACGTCGCCGGCCAGGTTGCGGCGGCAGGCGGTGGAGGTGAGGTACTCCTGCGGGTTCAGCCGGTACGTGTCGATCATGAAGTTGCGGTAGGCCAGGTATCTGCGGGGGGGGCAGAGGGCTGAGCACTGGGCACGGTCCCAGGGGTGACAGGGGGGTGGCGAGGGCAGGTCGGGTCTCACATTTCAGGGGTCTTGGATTTATTCTTGCCGTTGAAGAACTCGGGCAGGGCACGGCGCTCGATGGCGTGGACGCTGCAAAAGGGGACGCTCGGGGAGGGCCCGGTAGGTGGCCAGGACACCCCTCTCATCCCCATCCTCATCCTCAGCCAACCCTGTACCTGTTGTAGTCGAACCAGGCCGCGTAGCTGGGGATGATGATGTGGTGGGTCTGCTCTGTCACGTTGTCCTCGTGCAGGTCGGGGTTCTTGGCCTGCTCCCCCTTGCTCCCAGTGCCGTTCTCCTCCTCGTCCTGCCCACAGACCAGCACAGCATGGGCAAGGGGGTCCTGGGCCCCCCCACTTCTGCACCCTTCATCATCCTCAGCGGGAGCAGGATGAGGCCAATGG